ATATTTTGCGAACAGTCACTTACTACCAAAACACATATTCACACATAATTACAATTGTTTGAGTGAACACAGTGTCGTAGAAACAGGGGTTGCTTAATCTTATTGTCCCATACAAACTTTGAGGTTAGGTTTTTATACCATTTGATGCAATTTTTTGATTAAACAGTTCGGCTACCATTAAAAAGGTATACCTCTCAAACTTCGATAAAATAAACCGTTTCCGAGATATTTGAGATTACAATAATTGTTTTATCGCATTATTTAAAAGCATTAAAAGGTATATGATAACAAATTTTATTTTTTAATTGAAAAAACTAAAAAGGGCATTCCATGAGCCTCGGGACTTTTTGCCCTGACCGTCACATTAAAAAAAAATGTAGTTTTTTCAATTAAATTTTTTTTTATCATATAAATTTTCGTCCTTTAATGCGATATAACAATTATTGTAATCTCAAATATCTCGAGAACGGTTAATTTTATCGAAGTTTGAGAGGTACACCTTTTTAATAGTAGCCGAACTGAGTAATCAAAAAATTGCATCAAATGGTATAAAAACCTAACCTCAAAGTTTGTATGGGACAATAAGATTAAGCAACCCCTGTTTCTACGACACTGTGTTCACTCAAACAATTGTAATTATGTGTGAATATGTGTTTTGGTAGTAAGTGACTGTTCGCAAAATATCACCTTTCCAAGTCTACCATAGTAGAAGTTATATTAAAAAAACTGATATGATAAGTAACACTTTATCACCCTGTATCTTTTAAACATACGTATTTAGGAAAAATATTTATTTAGTTTTGTAAATAAATTTGTTTGGATTAAAATTGCACTTCCCTGCTGTAATATTTTATTTAAAAAAACGGACCGGTTTCACCTTACGGCATCTTCAGGGTTTCTACAAGAGGTACATAAATAGATATTAGATACATATATATAGGTTAAGCATACTTTAATAGTATGTCATAAGACGTCATTTTGTCGCACGCGGACAAGTTATAAAACGAGCGACGAAGGAGCGAGTTTTATAATGGACAAGCGCGACAAAATGACGTCTTATGACATTAGTTCTTTAATATACTACGTGCAAACGCTAGACCAACAACTTTATAAACTTCTGTCCCATTTTAACTGTGCTCCTGTGAAATTTTTAGGATGGTTTTGTACCTCTGTAGCGTTGGCGAAGGGATTGCCCCTTTGCTTTGTAGAAAATAAGGTCTCTCCTTATCCATGGTAGAGAATATAGATAGGACTTGATTTCTAGGATACGGATGTTCCAGCCCTCGTCCCTGGTGGTGTATTCTCTACATCCACCTGAGCCATGAGCTCGGCCACCTCCTTATCCAGTGTCGGTTGGTCTCTCTCTGTCTAATCTGGTCTGTGTGTAGACGTCTCTTCCGACAAGGGAGTATTGCTACTTTCCTCCTCGGTCAGAGCCGTATCTTACTTCGGCGCAGCTGGAGCCTTTGCCTTCGTCATGAAAGTGACGACGGAGACCCCGCAAAACGCTCTAAATTTTTGTTGCTGCAAGGGCTGAATTCTTGTCAACCCCAAAAACCAGGAAAACCCTGTTCGTCTCCTCTTTACGGTCGAATGTTCTCCATAGATTCGTCCTAAGGCCAGGATTATGTCTATGAAGACGCTTAAGGTCGGGAAGTCGTCTGGACAGCTGCAACCATCTTAATTATCCTAGGAATGTACCGCTGCACGCGCAGAGATGCCCCTTCCCAGGGTATGATCGAGAAGCCAGTTCAACGTCCACTGATCCCCGCATTTAACCGTCATGGTTCCCTGCGACGACCAGGGGAACTGCTCAAACTGGGGGTAGCAATCTCCTCCTATTATATAAATGTTGGTGTTTAGTGCCCCCATTATTGTTTTTCTCTGCGATTCCGTAATCATCGCGTCCGGATAAGCATCCGGCACGATGGTCACCCCAAAACCATGTTGCGGTGTTGTATGAAGCAATCCCTTGATCTCCCGGTTTAACTCCGGAAGCCCTGGGCCTCTTCGTTTTGTCTCATATCCTTGGGCCCCCTACGCCGAAGCAGGTCTTTGGCTTTTGCCAGAGCCCGGGCCACTGGAATCTGCCTTGAGCCTGAGCCTCCTGGCTCTAGCCTTAGCTTCGCCGCTTTTGTTACCCTTACGAGTCCCGGAAGCGGTATCGCGTGTCCCCTTTGTGGGGCCTTGTGAGGTTGGCAAAGGGAAGTTGTAAAAATATAAATTTTATCTTTATTATTATTATTTTTATTATTATCACTTACAGTGTAGAGGATAAAATCCTATAAACTCAAATTTTAAATGCATACATGAATACAATTTATAATAACAGAATGATATTTACAAAAAAGAGGAAATAAAAAGAAAAGTAAATTAAATAAGGTATAAAAACTAATATCTAAACCTGTCATAACTGTTCTTAAATTGATTCACAGTTTTAGTACACACTGTTTCATTAGGTAAACTGTTCCAGTGTTCAAACACACGATTAGTAACAAATGTTTCCCTTGTCTTCGTACAGAAACGTTCTTTAGATAACTTGAACCTGTGTCCACGAAGCCGATTGTCAATATTAAAGTCAAGTAAAGTTGTTAAGTCAATTCCAAACCGATTGTGGATTATTCGCCAAATTATAATAAGATCTCCTCGCAGCCTTCTCTCTTCAAATGACGTTAACCCCATTACGCGCATCCTTTCTTCATACGAAGGTCTGTTGAATCCGTATGGGAGCCTTGTGGATTTTCGTTGTATGAATTCCAATAAGTTTTTATCACGCTGAAGAATCGGAGACCAGACAGGCCCTGCATATTCTAATATTGGTCGTATATATGTTTTATAGATTTGGCATGCAGTTTGTGGGTTAGGTTTAGTGAAAATTTTGTGTATCATACTTATTAGTGCGTTTGCTTTTCTGCAGGAGGATTCAATTAGACCATGTTAAATCGCTGCTTATCCATACTCCTAAATCAAGGTGAGATTCCACTGTTTTTAAAGCATTGTGGTTTATGTGGTAAGTCAGCTTTGGATTTGTCGATATTAAGTGGTAGTTGCCAGTTGTTGCACCAGTGCTCAATTTGTATTAAGTCATTTTGTAGGATATCCTGGCTGGTAGTTGGGTTTCCATACAACTTTGCGTCATCAGCGAAAAATGAACATTTCGATCTTAACATGGGTGATAGGTCCGCCGTGTACAAGAGAAAAAGTATCGGGCCCCAAACTGACCCTTGAGGTACACCACTAATAACAGGAAGGAAATCAGACACCTCTTCACCAATTTTAACACAAACTCTGCGGATTCTTAGAAAGCTGCAAATCCAAGCATGTAGTTTTCCTGTAATACCCATGTGTTCTAATTTGAAAGCTAATCTAGTATGGGGAACTCTGTCAAACGCTTTCGAGAAATCCAAGTAGATTATGTCGGTCGGACTGTTTTTGTCTTTATTGAGGGTCCATTTACACAATGTAACAAGTTCAATATGGTAGAACGTTTTGAAAGAAAACCGTGTTGACAGTCCGGTAGTACTCTTTTTTCCAACAAAAAAGGTTTCAGTTTTTCAACAATTATTGATTCCATGACTTTTGCAGCAATAACAACTAAACTTACAGGTCTATAATTATTGGCATCCAACTTATCGCCCTTTTTAAAAATAGGGGTTACTAGAGCTGTTTTCCACTTAGCTGGTAATTCAGATGTATCAAATGATGTTTGCATAATTTTTGATAATGGAACACTTAGTTGATCAGAGAATTGTTTAAGGAAGTTTGAGTTTAAATTATCTGGTCCGGTTCTTTAATAGCCCAAGATGTTTTTTTACATTTTCAATGCTAAAGTCTATACTAGCCAGAGACGAGTTATTTTTCGGCATATGTGTGTTTAATTCTGCAGTGTAGGAGGAAAAAAAAATTTGCCAGGGTATTTGCTACCTCCAGATTATTTGAACAGATGTTTCCATCTTCTTTTCTAATTAAAGGAATTGTTACTTTGGAATTTAGACCATTTCGAATATACTTATAAAAATTTTTTGGGTTTCCAGATGAAATAAGTGTCCGCTCGTATAGTGTCCTGGCCTGGCTGAGCTACGTTTAAACTTTTGCCATAAAGATTTTTTTCTTCGACTTCGAAATTCTTTTAAAATATCGCATGAAATCCAAGGTTTTTCTGGAACCACTTTGGTAAATATTTTTTTGGTATTTAGTTTTAATATATTTTTGACTTCTCTTTCAAAATTGCTCCACTGTACATTTACAGAAAAATTTTCAAGAAAGGTATTCCATTCCAACGTTGATGAGTTGTTTTTTGTTTCCGGTTTCGTCCAGCCTTCTGGACGGCTACCTGTTGTTTGGTACCGATTCCAATCTTTGCAGATAATGGATGGACTTATCTGGAGTTGATTTGGTACGTAGCTTATTAAACGCCCATCTTTAACCAAAGCAACAGAACTTGCTACTTTAATTTTACTGTGTAAACGCATTTTATATCTTGTTTCATGCATCAATATCAAAAACTTACGTTTACTACTTCCATATGCTAAAATTGTCTTGGAAATCATTGATTATGTTAAATTTTTTAGATATTGTACATGAGATTTGAGTAGATTTAAAATAAATGTGAATAAAAAATAAGGATCTGTCAAAAACGCGCTCCGCAATTTATTTTAGTAGTGTATCTAATTAATGTATCCATAATACGTGTTTTTCTTACCTTGTAACCATTATCTTCTTTTGGATTATGTGAGGCAGTTACCATTACGCCTATTGCTGCTTTATATTTAGAAACAGCAAATGCCACGAAAGGAGTTGGATTAACTTTACTAAATAATTTAACTTTGTAACCATTTTGAACAAATATTGTAGCTGTTAAATCGGCCCACCTCAAAGTAGAAAATTCATATTTTTAATAATATTTTTTTATTGAAATTGTAAAGTAAAAACTTTTGAGTTTCTTACTTTAAAATGTTCAAAATAAACAGTTTAATAATTATTTAATTATTATAAATTACCTCTTACTATTATGTCTTCCATCAAAACCAAGAACAATACCATTACTCTGAAGCATTTTTTGTTCAGTCTTTTCCAAGTATTTTAATAATCCCTGTCCAGTTTGGATTATCACCAGATCATTCATACAAGAATACCCGGCAGCCATTTTACCTCTTAGTCCAGCAGTTCCAAACGAAAGTCTTTTAAGAAGAACCCCTTTTAAATCATCATATTTTTTAGATTTTACCAGTTTTTCAATCTCCGTTTTTGTGTGCTCATTCTTATCCCATTTTAACCATTCTTGGATTTTTTTATCCAACTCAAAAGAAGGACTCATTTTGCCTAAAAAATTATATTTATTATTTTTCTATTTTTTTAAGGATGCGCTTTACTTTCCTATATTACGTTTCGATATTTTTTACTCTACAAATAATGAATATCGAAAAGACTGTGTTAAAAAATTTATCAGAAACACTAAGACATATTCTTGTAGGATATTAAACGCTCTACATGCTTTTGATAATTTTCTTCAAGTTCCGACAAAAATAACAGACTTATCAGAAAATGTTATAGGACCTTTTTTGTAGGTAATTGTATTTTGCAGTTGTTTTTTATAAAGTTCTCAAAATACCTAAAGTATGTATAAGTATAAGGTGTCCCTTATTTTTATTTTTTTTACGCATACCGTCTTATTATATTTATTGTATTTGTATACTCCCATTTATTGTGTTTGTATACTCCCAGTAAAAATTTCAGCTCATTCTATAAACGGGAACCCGTGCCGACTTGCATCTGAATCCTCCGTTAGCCAACGTTAGGCGCGCGGTATTTTGTAACACGGTTGGTCGCGAGGTCTTCGATCGTAAGTCATTTTGTGTTTGTTATTATGTTACCCTTATATTATAAATTATTGACAAATGTTAAAATATAGTTTTATTTATGTGTATACTTTGATAAAAATGTATATTTTCACAGGGAGTAGCTAGTTACCCGGAAGGGTCTGGTGAATAGGCCGTAAACTATGAAATTGATAAACCTAATGGGTTTTACTCTAAATTACTAAAAGAGTCTATTATGAGAGATGACAACCGAAAACTTATTGAACTGTCTGAAATATTTTTGGAAGGACATCAAGAAAAGAAATGCTTATAAAAAACTGAAATTTCATATAACAGTATATTTTAGCAATACTAATTAGTATATTAATATATTTAAAGGATAAAATCAACTAAATTAGTGAAACAAATGATAGAAACAAAAGCAATAATATTAATTAGTAATCATATTTAATAAAATCATTAGAAAAATACAGTCATGAAGTATATCTTCTTTCGTGTTACAAAATACCGCGCGCGCCTAACGTTGGCTAACGGAGGGTTTAGATGCAAGTCGGCACGGATTCCCGTTTATAGAATGAGCTGAAATTTTTACTGGGAGTATATAAACAAGTAATAAATATAATTAGAGGGTATGCGTAAAAAAAAATAAAAATAAGGGACACCCTATAGGTTTTATAATGTATATATATTGTAATGGTTCCGTAAAAATACCCCATTATACATTTATAAACATATTTTATTTTTAATTTTAAAATAGGATTATGTTTTAAAATTTTAGTTTAAGGCAAATAAGAATACAATTTAGGTAGAAAAATAGCCAAGCAAACAATAGAGGTAGAAAAGAAAAATGCTCTGGTTTGGAGAAAGCTCACATGTGCTGAGCAGATTTACTGGAAATTCCACACCGAGGTAAAAGGAAGAGGGCGATTAAAAACGAAAAATTAGAGATAAGCGTTTTCCTTGATAAAATTGTTAAACCAAATTATTGTAAAGTTATAAAATCATTGTTAAAAGTTTTGTTTGTGTAATCTACAAGGTTAGTTCTAAATATTTAATCTATCTAAATGTGTAGTAAAATTACCTTAACGTAATATTATGCATATTTAAATTATTAATATTATTCTTAATGCTTATTGCTATTATTAGTATATTTATTCTTCACTATTACGTTTAGCTGGATTTTATGTTACTTTTAACCCTTTTCTTTTAAATTACCACACCTGTTTTCGCTTTTACCGTTATCACTATACTTAATTGTAACAATTTGTTATGCTCAATGCTTGTACAGCTCAAATGTAACATTGCAACTTTTTGTGCTTAACCCAACATTTTGTACCTTTTCTATAACGCGAATTAGCATTGTTTTATGATCAGTTTAAATTTATTGATGTATTGCGAAATGACTCGGTGCCTTAACACGAGTTCTGACCGTTACCGTTAAACTTTGAACTATGAACTAATATTTCCTCCAGTGAGAGAAACAGGTTGCCCTAAGTTATCAACTAAAACAGGCGAGTTGCCTCCAGTGCGGACTTAACTAACACCAATATTCTTCAGTTTTAAATCTTTGTTGAATGCAGTATCGAACCATATCGCAAATACATTAATTTGCGTACATTTCAAAGTACAATACCTGACCGCGTATTCCTTTGCTACTTCATAGCCGACAAGGGTTTTTTCACAGGCCCTTTTTCCCTGGCCGAACCCTCCAAAGAGACGTAAACTAAACCACTGTATTTTATTTCTTATAAACCTAGTTCTCCCACGTATTATCTTAAAGCAATGTATTTAATAAAACAAGTGAGTAAACACAACGTAGGGGTCCAAATTTGGGTAAGACTAACACGAGCCAAAGTCACAAAATTGTTAACTTATCAATTTTTCATAAAACTTGTTTTAAAGGAACCTGGGGTAAGGGGAAATCTTTTATCAGCGGCTCATTCCAGGTCTAATTCGCAGCAGAGCAGCAACATCAGCGCAGCAGATAAGACCTGAAGATGGTACATATCTATTCTATGGGCGTCCAGTGGTTCATCCTTTAAGATTTTGCCAGGTGTTCTAATTCACCTTTATACGACCTTTGGCAGAAGACGCCCAGAACTCGAAAAATAAATTTTTGATATACGTTCGTATATTTTTAGTTCACGACTTTTCCACGAGGGGAATGACTGTCGCCTATGTAAAATATACGTTGTGTATATTTAATTTTATTAAATTACATCTTAGAAGCGTCCTTAGTATAAAATCTCTTACATTCCCCCGATTTTAGAGCGTCCTCTAGCCAAGGAAATTTTGCAACATGTGAATTATAATAAGATTCTGTTGTATTTTAACTATAATGTTCAAATTCGTGTTTTTGATAAATATTTAATTCAATAAAATTTTACGCCAACGATTTGTGGGCGTCCTTTCTGTATATTCATTTCAACTTTTCCGTTTTCTGAGCATTAAAAATAAATACATATACCTGTAGTAGTATACTATAGTTACTATAGTATAGTATACTATAGAAGTATACTACTTAATATTTATAAATATTTTACGGATTTATTTGCATACAAGTTAAGTTTGACTTTTAACTATTATATGAGGACCCTATAGCCAAGGTATACAAGTGACATTTAAAAAATGAAGTTAAGTACAGGAATACATAGCAAAAGTTACATTTTACTTGGTAGCCAAGGAACAGGGCCGAGCCTAGGGTATCTGCCGCCCGGGTGCAAGAATTAAATTTGCCGCCCCCATTAATGTAAAAAATTAGGTTGTCGGTAGGGAAGGAGTTCATAATTTATCATTCTCAATAAACATATAACAAATTTTATAGTAAAATAACAAAGTATTTATTAACAAATACATAAAAGAATAAAATAAAAAATTTTATTTTATTTATACATCCATAATTAAACTAAACTAAAAAACTAAAATCTACTTATCTCGCTTTTTTAATAGCAAATTCCCTAATTAAGTCGCCTACATCCAAGTTGTTAGAAATATCTTCTTCAATACTTCTAATTGCTAAATTTGAAAGCCTAAATTGACTCATATTGGATCTTAAATAAGTCTTAATTAGTTTTAATTTCGAAAATGACCACTCTCCATGGGCAACAGTAACTGGAATCGTCAAAAATATTCTTAAAGCTACAAATAAATTCGGAAAGATGCCTTTTAAATCATTAACTAGTTTTTAACTTAAACGCATTAAAAGACAAAAGAAACTACTATGTTTGCATCCTATTTGCCTCACGTTAAAAGAAAAACTAAAAATTGCTGAAATACGCAGCCGTCAAATCGAAAGAAATTATGCTTTAACTTAACAATTCAGCTTGTAAACAATATCACGTGGTACACAGCGCGCGATTTGATTGGTTTCCCGTATGCCCGCTTCCGTAAAACATGAAACTTGACGAACTCGAAGCGGACGGACGGAAAGCGAAGCAGGCGGGCGGCAATCTATAAACCGGGCTTTAAGAAAATTGTCATCATCATTTTTTGTGGCTATCGCGCGTTCGGTTATGTCTTTTTTATCATTGCCGCCTGCACTGTTCAAAATTTCATGACCATTTTAACACCAAATTAACACCATGCATGGTCTATATCGATACAAACCAAAATGGTGTTAAATGTGGTCCGTTGGCCCGGTGTTAATTCAAATACTAAAATGGTGTTAATTTAACTTTCACACAGTATTAAAATAAATTTTACCTGGTGTAAATTGAACTCCTTTTCAGTGTTAAATATTATGTGTTTGTGGTCAAATTAAATCATACTACACAGAAAAAAGGAAAAAAAAGTAAACAGGAAGTTCCTTGACGCATTACCTACTAGTATATTACCAGTGGTATTATTCCAGAAAATGGAACCTTCAACTCGCTGGAGGTAATGTTTTTAGTGCGTTCCACTAACTTAAAATACTTCAAGTATTGACAGCTGTTTTCAACTATTTAAGGTCTCTTTAGTATCGAACAACTTGTAGTGTCACACCAAAGCAAAGGATCACCTGAGTTTATATATTCTTCATGTAAGTCAACAGAGGCGAGATTTAAGAACATCACATGATCCACACTGCCTTTGCCGCGATCGGTACACATTTTCAACCATAATTCATGGTGTTATATTAACACCACTTGGTGTTGGATTTTGACACCATTTTAAGATTACACCACAGATATTTTAAACAGTGTGACAGCACAATTTTGGCATTGTTTTTATGTGTAGAATAAAAACGATGGTTCCTTGAAACGCCGACATCAATAAAACGCAAGTGATTTTTAGAAAGTTTTTTGCATATTGCAAGGTGGCTTTTTTATTCTTGATAATATGATACAATTTTTTTGATGATATTTTGCCGCCCTGTGTTAGTGCCGCCCGGGTGCCATGCACCCCTTGCACCCCCGGCACGGCTCGGCCCTGCCAAGGAATATAACTAAATTCCAATTTTGTAAAGCTTAAAAATTGTATATTACTTATGTATCAAGTTTTATAAACGTCATTTAAGTTACGAGTTTTATTAG